TCAGCACTTCCAAGCACAAGAGACCAAGAATAGAAATTGAACCTGACTCTTGTGTGGCAATGAAGAGTAATATTTACAAGCCACTAGCCTGAACTGATATTAATATGTATTGCTATAGATCACGTTTATTGCTACTAACATTTTACATGGAGATACAATAATAAGGTCTGTAATTTTCTCCTCTTTTTCCTCAGATTTCCTCTGGGGTCCTTCTCAATCAGAACGATTATAATTGGAGCAACAGCACAGTTTTCTTCAAAACAAGAGCTGGAAGAGGTTAGTCTGAGGCCAAAAGTAAAACAGGTGTCATCTGCATTCTCGTTGCTACTTAAATCATTGTCTTTCTTGCTGCATTTTGAGTTTTTGGATTTTTACTAGGTGTCAGCACGCTCTAAGTGTAAAGCCTCATGAGACTGTATCTGTGACAGAGGCAGGGTACTTTTGGTCCCAAGTACAATAAGAGGCTAGCTCCAGCTTTCCTGGGGATGCTGGGGGAAGAGCTATAAGAAGGGCTCATGGGAAGAGAGGACTGTGTGCCCAAGTATTGAGTGAACCCCAGGTTGAGTAAACTTATTAGGCTTGTTTTGCTTATTGAAATTGTTTTTTAAATTATGCCATTTACACCTGCTGATCAAAACTGCTTTATTTCTGCTCAGCCACCCCACCAGTTGCCCATGAAATATACTGTAATGTGTAAATGTTAGTGTTCAACTATATAAAATTGTATTACAATCCAAGACCTGCCCCATACCATGTCCTCTAAAACGATCTCTGAGTGTTAGGTTTTGTTTTGTGAGTCAGTGGGAATTGTGGGTGTTCGGCACTTGGCAGGATTAGGCCCTAAAGGAATAATCTCCAACACCACTGCAAATAGTTTTAGAATTTCTCTAGAACTATACATCCCATTTTCATTTTGGCCTGATCCTGCACCTTTGAAATCAATGGGAACAGTGTTGGGTCCTGAATGTGGATTTCTATCATGTGAAATGTTCAAGTAGTGTAATGTGGCACTTTATGTTCTGTACTGAGGCTTGGCTTTTGGTGTGCTCTCCAGCACCGCACTTGGCAGTAGGCCCCAGGTGGTGCCTCTTTCCCCACTCCCCATCCCTCCAAAATATGGCCTTTGGCAAACACTGCAGAATGGAACCAGCCAGAGACTCTAGCCAGTCTGGAAGTAGCCAAAGCAGGAACCTTGGGACATTCACAGACCTTTCTACACCTTTTATTGCATTTCCTCTGCTCCTGTACTGATTGGCTGTTTGCTCCAAACCTCTCCCTCCTTCTTCACCTCAGCTTCACTCCACACCTGCCCTTATTCTCTTGTCTCCTGCCCTGTCCTCACTTCCCTTCCCTTTTCTTTCCATTTAGCTTATGCCCTCCTACATAAATCCACCCCCCAAAACATCATATCACTAACATGAAGTTTGCTGCCATCACATTGTTCGTTCTGCTTGTGTGTTCTAACCCTCACTCTGCCCTGTGCCTGTCTCGTCTATTTAGATTTTAAGCTTTTCGGGGCATGGACTGTCTGCTACTCTGTTTGTGCAGTGCCTAGCACAATGGGGACCCATTCTCCATTGGTCCTTAACAATGCTTATTATGGCAGTGCTTGTTAATAATAAGTTCAGTGTGTCTCAGAGAAAACACAATGTAAATTGAGGTTATGGTCCAGGGTAGTAACACTATACACTGAATCATGTTAGAGCTCTTTTTTAGGCTGTACACTCTTGGGACTGGGATTTATCACTTAGTTTTCTGTAAGTAGCATGCCTATGTAACCCACTGGTTAGTGTATGTTACAGGTCCTCCCATGTGCCAGATCCACAGAAGATATGTATTTGTTACAGCCCTAGCTAGGAAGCCTTGATTCTTTAGTCAAAGGTGTTGCAGCTCAGGCTTGTAGCCCTGGAGGTCGCCCCTTCAGTCTCTAGTTTGTTGGCCAAGGTGGGGGCTGTCACACTTACAGATGTCACAATGGTAATAGTGAGCTTTTTCAAAAGTAAAAACTATCACTAATGTCATTATTTTCTTCAGATCTGATCGTAACCTTTTTAATTGATATCTTATATAGGTGAAGTTGTTTTTTGAATCTGTAAAGGAGGAAGTGTCACAGCTGAGAGCACCCCAGATTGCCGTGGAGAATATTGAGAAGAATATAAAATGGCTGGAGAGAAATTTAGTTACATTAACAAAATGGATATTAGAGAATCTTAAGTAAAACTGCTTGAGATCAGATGAAAGAGTGCGGTATTACTGTGTGCTTTAAAATAACACAATTAAAATCAAACTAAATATTTTTTCCTCTGAACAGGTGCATAATTGCTACAGTACTTTACTGAACATCTTGTTGAATTATGCAGTTCATTTAATGAAAACCTTCCTGACATCTGATCATTTATTTTTATGAAATTTGGACTGCCATGTTTACACTGGTTTTGCATTTGTCTTTATATGTGGTTCTGTTTGGATATTTAGGTGTTTAAGCCAATTGAAGGACTGTAGCTATAGACTTGGCAGAGTGTGTGTATGTGCATGTGTGTGTGTTTTTGATTTCACAAGAACCTTGTAAAATTAACTTTGAAGTCCCACGGTGGGATACATATGTAACTTAGGCCTTCTACTAAATTTCTTAACAGCTGCATAGAACCTAGCCCTGCCACTGTGTGCCTTACTTATTGTTCTTAGTCAGTGATTTCCTCTGTTCCCTAAAAAAGCAGCTTTCCCCAGGTTTTGCCTTTGGCAGTTTAAGAAACATAAAACAACTTCTATCAAAGACAAAATGCTGTGTAAGGGTCATGATAGATGAAAACAATTTAGTTTCATTTAAAAAAGCCTCACAATAAGCATATATCTATGTTTTTAGATTCCTCTAGCATAGAAATTGTATGTCTCTTAGGCAAATCCAAAATCAAGGATATTTTTTAAGAGACCAAAATATTTCACAGGTGTGGGATAAATGTTTAGCTAAGAAACTGGAACAAAATACTACTGTATGTTTAGATAATATTGGAGACTGTGACATGAAACAAATTGTAATAAAAAAATCCAACATTAAGCTTGACATCCTCAGGGAAGCAAATCTAGGACCCTTTTCGAAGGCTCTTGGTTGGCCCTCTTTCCTTCAAGGCCCAAGATTTAATGAGTGACTCCAAACCATGTCATACTGCTGTGCCAGGTGCACTGGGTAACAGAGAGGGTGGCCCAGATCCTCAAAGGTATTTGGGTGCCTATCTCTCATTGAAATCCATGGGAGTTAGGTGCCTATTTACTTTGGAGGATCTGGGCTTATGTCCTGAACTGGGATGTGTGTTCATGGAGGAAATTAGGAGAAATAGTAGACTGGGGGATGGGGGATCTGCAATTGTCTATGATAAAGGGGATCATGTCTTGATTCTCCATGGGGCTTAAGTTAACACTCCAGAACACTCTGTCAGCACATATCTTATACTTCACGCTGTGCAGCACTGGAGCATGAGCAGTACACAGCGCTATAGCAGCACAACTTTCAACCTGCCCTGGGCGAGCTGGGGAACTCCCATGCACTGGGGACTCCTGTGACTCTCATATAGCAGCATTGTCTGAATGAGTCCTGGTCTCAGGTCTACTATTTTACTGTTCGTTATCTTATGTTAAAACTAATGGGACTTCTGAGCAGGCCCTGAGAAAATATCTCTCGGTTTAACCCTGCCTTATTTCAGTGGAAGTTGTGAGCATTCAGCACTGTGTAGGATTGGGCCCTCAAGAGTTTTAATTTGGAGTTGGGCTTTTTTTTCCTCAAACACACATTGTGGGATGAGTTAAGGACAGAGGATTAGCCTTACCTTTAAATTTCTAGGCTTTCTAGGGCTTGACACTTAAGTAAAATTCCCATTGACGACAGCTGCCGTGCTGATCATTTCTGTTCTAAATATGGGACTGCCAGGCTGATCAGTGCATCGAACACTGCATCACTTAAATATCAATAAATTATAACTGATTTACTGTACCCGAGAGAGAAGCTTTGGTAGCATTTCTGTGGCAGTGACTGGTTCCATGGCTGCCACTACTAGCAACTATTGCTGTCTGGCAGTAGGAGTACCTGGAAAACTCTTTAAAATACACACTATTCACATCATTTGCATCCCTAGATTGCACCCTTATATCGTTGCCATGTATTACCTCACATTACACTCAGCTCAGCCATAAGAGTTGGCTCATAGTGCTGAGTTGTGTGCATTTGTCTCTGAGCTATCCAGAAGGCTTTTGGAATAGCTACTGAGTAAACACTGTTTGTTGATCAATAGCACTTTTGCTTTTCTTTTTTGTTTGTTTTTGTAGAACTCAGCAACCTTTAGGACTGTGCCTTTAGACTGCAAATCCCTGAGGCAAGGGGGGGTGTCTTTCTTTTTGTACAAAGCCAACTACATTGTTGTTCAATAAATAAATAAATTCAGTCTGATGGTTTTTTTTGTTTTTTGCTTTGCAGCTACTAGACTTTGAAATACTGGGGAGTTAATTTTTATTGCACAATAGTTGCTTTATTTTCAAGTCAGTCATTATGGGCTACTGAATTCTTGAAATAAAAGCTCTTCCAGACAATAACACTTCTTAATAGACAAAAAAGAAAAAAACATACTTGCTTGTTTGTGACATGTGAAAACCAGCTTCCCAGATCAAATGGTTCCTATTGTCTGGATTAGTTTTCCACAGAGACTGGAAAACTCCTTGGAAATAAATGGGAACGGTAAATCAGTTATGACTGAAAGCTGTTTTCGATTTTTCTATCATAAGCCTATGATCTGTGGCTGCTATCAGTATAGGCTTTATTCACTCTGGTATTATAATTTTCTGTCCCACTGAAAGAGTTGGGGCACCATTGGTCATTGTGAAGGATTCTGTGCTGTTAAACCACACAAGATAGTAGGATGGGTGCACACAGCTTGCTTTGACTTAATGTGATAAATGATTATCATGAGCTGTATTTGATGAACAAACTCCGGAAACCCCTGGTGGCTGCCTCCGAGTGAAAACAAAAGTGAAAATAAAAGCAGCACAATTCAAGGCTGCAGAAGCAAATCGGAGATCGTGATATACAGACGTTTCCATGTGTTTGCTTTAAAAAAAATCTAAAGCTGTTTTTGCAGAAAAGATGTGATCAGACAGGAACATGCCATGGACCATGTAAGAGACCAGCACTGAAGGGGGGGGGGAGGGGCTGTGTGTGGGGAGGAGGTTTCATTCTGTGCTTGCGGAAGAAGCTCTGTTAGTAGAAACTACCTGTCATGGCTTTCCTGCTCCTATTTCAATACAGCCCTCAGCCATCTTTTAAACAACGTGGTGTATGTACCACATAGAAATATTCCACTTTCAATGCTTTAATATTTATTTTTTGGCCTGTTTTTCTTAAACTAATATAAATGAATCATTTAAAAAAATTAATGTGCAGTTTTTATTACAATCTTCTTTTAGGAGGTTTATTTGCACAGCTGTCTTATTCTCTTTTGCAGCTTTCTAAACTTTTATGAGAGCGCTCCACTGTCCAGATACTTGCCTGCTAAACCACATGAATTAAGTGAGCAGAGAACCTTGCTTGAGCCCTCTGCCCCTTAGCAAATTGGCCACATTCACACCTCTGCAATTTCCGGTAGTTTAACCTTGATACAGTGGACAAGGGAACGATTTGGTAAGAAGAGTGAGGTGGTCTCATAGACAGGCACCAACGACCATTTTAGCAGCTGCATAGCTGTCCAGAATGCAGCTGCTAAAATTACACCACTAAATAAAGACTTGCTGTGAGAAATGACACATTGCTGTGAGTACCACCTTATTCCACAAGTCCTGTCTCCAGGTTAAGAGGAAATAGATGTGGGAGTTGAAGTCTTCCTCTTGTCCCCTGCAAATATCATAATCTCAGACGAATGCAAATTTTTTCTTCCAGGTCTGCTGACCTTCAGGACCTGCTGTGAGGTATAGATTTTTAGGAAAGCTGACAATGAAGCAAGCATCAAGGGTGCTTAGGAAAAGTGGGGAATAATTATTTTTTCTTGCTACATCTTTTTTTTATATAAACATTAACCCTACAGTATATTTATTTTGATATGTTGATCTAGGCTTCAATTCAGCAAGGCACTTAAGCACATGTTTAATTTCAAGCACATGAATAGTCTCTGCGGGGATAGGGCTTTATTGTATTTTCAAACAATTGTCTGAGGCACTTAGAGTACATCTACAGTGTGATAAAAGGCCCGGGTCGCAGCTGTGGCTGGCCTGGGTCAGTTGGCTTGGGCCTGCAGGGTTTGGGCTGCGGGGCTATACAATTACAGGGTAGACTTTCAGGTTTGGGCTGGAAGCTAAGCTCTATGCTCCAGCAGATGAGCCCCTTGAGCTTGAGTCAACTGACCCAGATCAGTGGTGGGGGTTTTATTGCAATGTAGATACACCCATAGAGTTTCAAGTACCGTTTGTCATTTTAAACATTTAAATACATGTAAACTGAGCCTTCATTGTCTGTGTGGTTTATGCAGGAAGCTGGATTATTACAACTAAAGTGAGGCTCTGACTTTTCTTACAGTTAAGACACCTGTTTTATTTTTCTCTAGATGAGAATTCATTAATGGAAAACTACATTACTGCCAGTGCATGATGCATCCTAAGCAAACAATATTTTCAAGACCTGGAAGTTTTAGCCAGAAGAAGCTACAGTTTTTTCTTTTGTTCTAGAGAGGATCTTTCGATGCATGCATTTGCAATGGCTAGTCACTGTAGAATATGTTCACTGGTATTAGTGCTGCAGCTATTACACATTTATTCTCTGGGAATTTGTGGATTTAAACATCAAACAGGTAAAGACAATGTAACTTCCCCTACCAATGGCAAGCTATTTCCTTGGAATAAGATGAGGCTTCCTGATATGGTAGTCCCAATCCAATATGACCTCTGTGTTCACCCTAATCTTACTACTGTACATTTTACTGGACTGGAGAGGATAGAGATCTTTGTGAGAGAGAATACTAGATTTATCATCTTGCACAGCAAAGGCCTTGAAATCACCAGTGCAGTTCTTCTGCCCAAAGATGACTTGGGGTCCGGTAAACCAGGAAAACAGCTTCAAGTTTTAGAACATCCTGCACATGAGCAAATTGCCCTGCAGGCTCCGGAAGTATTAACAGCTGGCCAGCGGTTCCTGGTTGTCATAGAGTTTCATGCAAGACTGGCGGATGGCTTTGATGGATTTTACAAAAGTACTTACAAAACTCGTGATGGGGAAACAAGGTAAGGAGTCTCTTTGAAGTTTTCTGGAGAGACAAGGTGGGTGAGGTAATATCTTTTATTGGACCAACTTCTGATGGTGAGAGAGACACTTTCAAACCACACAGAGCTCTTCTTCAAGTCTCTAATATCTTGGTACTGACACAGCTACAACTACACTGAATAAAGTTTTATAGGTACTTATGCCCTGACCTCAAAGTTTTATTTTTGCCTTATATCACTGTTAATGGTAATTGTATGTTTTCCTGGGATGTGACCTGTATGAAAGCAAAGTGATTAGCCCCAACTTTCAATTAAAATGCTAACTAAAAAGCAGAAGGCGTGCAGCTCAGGTGGGATCTGTGCAAAATCAGTCTGGGGGGAATTAGCTCCCTGAACAACGAGCAGTATGGGGTTCTTCTCTTCTGTTGGGCTTGGGGCATGGTGTGCATTGCTCTGTTCAGCAGGAACCCTGCAGGACCAATTAGGAGTGCTATTGCTGTGCTCTGAAGGGAGTCTGGTTCTGTTCTCTTGGGTCAGAGGAAGGACGGTAGCTGTTATGTGGTGCCTCAAAGGACTATACACTGGGGAGCAATAGGTGGCCATCTGTGAGTGATGGGAAAAGCCCTCCCTGAGCAAAAATTCAATGAAAGTGCGATGGATAAAAACGATAGCTGCAAAGTCTTGTATTACCTTGTATAGCTTTTGATTCCAAGTTGAGGGCCTCACTTATATTGGATGGCTTAGATCAGCATTTCCCAAATGGGGGGTTGCGATATGTGTGTGCTGCGCGGTGAGAGGCGGCTGCATGCCTCGCCTCAGCCGGTTGCCACCACCTCACTGTGTGTGCCAAGCAGTGAGAGGTGCTGCGACTCCTGGAGGCACTCACTCTGCGCACCAAGGTGGCAGCGGCCAGCAGAGCGGGGTTTGCAGCTGCTGTTGTGCCAACCCTCCGGGCAGGAGGAGGGGAACTGACCTGCACCCGAAGGTACTAGCACCATTCAGGGCATTGTTTTTAGCAGCCTTTTTGCTTACAGGCAGCATTTCAAAATATACAATCTAGACTGGCTAAACCAGATTCTTACTAGATGAAGGCAAAAGTGGGGAAGGAAAAGGACTTGTGGGGAGGAGTCTTATATCCCAGGCGGTGGTCAAGATTTAGCCACAACAGTAGATGTGCCTATCATGGCTATCATGACATTTTATGAACTTTCACTCACTTCTGACAATTGTGGTAAATTTGTAGACCCCATTATTACAACAGGCCTCCTTGGTTCAGTAACCCTGCCTGTGGGGCTCCCTTGTTGAGACCCTTATTGAGCAAAACAGGTAAGCACACACTCAGGTCCATCCCTTTTCAACAAAACACAATTCACGTGCTTTTTAAACAACTGCTTTGATTTAGTTTGTATGGGTGCCAGAATTATTATCTTTATCTGTGAGTCACAAAGCACATTCATTCAGTGTCAAAGGTCTCCTCAATTGTGGGTGTTAATTTATAAAAGCAAGTCACAAATCTGATGATGAGCATTCCCGACTGAATGTAATCATGTAACTGTTATCAGCACAGGGGCCGATTTTCATTTTTCCGGGTGGGTCCTCCTCTCCTGCTCTGCCCCAAGGCTCCACCTCGTCCTGCCCACGCTCTGTCCCCTCCCCCCAGCACCTCCCACCCATCGCCGAACAGCTGATCGGTGGGTGGCTGGTGGGTATTGAGCACCCACTATTTTTCTTCTGTGGGTGCTCCAGCCCAGGGCAACCAAGGAGTCAGCACTTATGGTTGTCAGAGTGACCAAACCTGATCAAGAAGTTTAGTTCTAAATTATTTAAAGTTACATCTACCAGCTGACCAATTCTGTAAAATAGTCATGGTGCCTGCAATATACATTTCCCCCCACGACACGCGCATCTATTATTTTTCCTTCTGGGTAACAAATGGATTTCAAGTGATAATGTACAATTGGGTACTGACACTGGAACAAAGTGGGCAGAGATCCCAAAACATTCAAGAAAATCTATAATTTTTACTGGTATTTGAGCCATATTTTAACCAATAAAAGAAGCATAAAAGCACTGTTTAGAAACTCTATTCTTATAACACTTGCTATATCAAGGTCTAAACCTGTTGCAGGCTAAGATACAAAATTAGTGTCATTCTTGATTTCATGTTTAACTTGGATGAATTTGTTTCTGTATGTCATGTCTCACAGGATAATAGCTACTACGGATTTTGAGCCTACCTCAGCAAGAATGGCTTTTCCATGCTTCGATGAACCATCTTTCAAAGCCAACTTTGCCATCACGATAAGGAGAGAAAGAAAACACATTGCATTATCCAACATGCCAAAGGTAAGATTTTGTTAAAGGATTGATGATGTAGTCACATTAACCGCTCTTAATGTTCAGTTCCTAATTCTTATTTTTGATTAACTGAAGTTCTGTTCAGGAAATGTTTTTTCCTGCTGAAAATTTAGATAAAAATGAAAAAAAAGTTTTTGTTGATATTTTCAGGAGAAAATATCAAATGTTTATCCAAAAAACAAAACTCCCCGACTGAAACTGTTGATAGTTGATAGTTTTCAGTTTTCCAATTTTCTGATGAGAAATATCAAAACTTTTTGAGGAAAGCAGACCCTTTCCATGAAAATATTTTAGTCAAAAATTCAATTTTTCATTGGAAAAATGATTTTGAAAGAAAATTTTAGACCAGCCCTGTGTAAAACAGAATACATTGTAGACCAAAGACAACCTTGTGCTGCAAAGCCTTATGGATTTGGTCAACTACATGCACCTGTATAGTTCTGTTGAAGTCAATGGGACTATTCATATGTGTATAGCTAATCACTTATGTAAGTGTAGCAGCAGTGTACCCAGTTTGGCATTGGGCTTCTCCACTGCCTTAGTTTACCTTCTTCCTTAGTCAATCAGATGCCCACAACTGGAGCCTTTTTATCAACTCATCTTTTTGGGTATCTGGTTTCTTAATATAAATTAACAGCTGAGCTTTACATTGTTCAGCCCTCATCCCCAGGGTCACTCGTTCCTTCCAGCCCTTTGCCAGGGCATCACCATCCTTATAGCCCATTCTCCTTATATTCTTCCCTCCTAGGCTTCACAGTCCCTTACAGCGCTTTCCTCCTCGGGCTTTCCCGCAGTGGGCTCCCCCTCCTTGCAGGTCTTTCACCCTTCTAAGCTAAGCCAAGCCATATATTTCCCTAATATCCAGCAGTGGGTCTCCTGGCTGTCACATGACCTTCCAGGACTACAGTTCCCCAGATCACTCAGGATGTGTGCCAACAGGCTTGCTTTTAAAAGGGCCAAGACTCGGAACAGAGTTGACTGGCTCTGGGCCACCATTACCCTTCAAGAGGAAAGACTATCTTGTTCAGGATCTGGGCCCACAACTTTAAGCTCCTCAGTGCAGGGACTTTATCATCATATTTGTATGGGCAGGGTCTAGCACACTGTTGTTGCTGCCAGCATGCAAATAATGAATAATTTTTCCTGGTATAACTTTATTGAACCGTGGGTTGATTTTGGTCTGCCAGCTGTTAAATAGGTTACTCATGGTATCAATCTATTGGTTTGTGGGAAGTTTTAATGGAAGAACATTGCTTTTTTTCCAATTTGCAGATTAAAACAATTGAACTCGAAGGAGGCCTGTTGGAAGATCATTTTGAGGTGACTGTGAAAATGAGCACTTACCTTGTAGCCTACATAGTTTGTGATTTTAAGTCTGTGCAGGCCACAACATCATCAGGAATCAAGGTGAGTTCAGGTTTCAGCATGGCCAATAACTAAGGTTATTTTAGGGCTTGACATTTTTTGATTAGAGCAGTGAGGTTTACAGGCAATGAGGAGAGAGACTTAAAATGTGAAATCATATACCCAGGAAGAGGAAATAGACAACATAGTTACAAATCAGTGGATGTAACCAAACAGCTACACTTATTGCATTAAAGCAAGTTAATTTCCACCTTTTCTGCCTAATAGCATTTATAATAAAACTTGTGCCTGGTACCAAGTCCTGGAGTTGCTGCAGAGAAAGTATGTGATTGAGATGATGGGAGGGGAATTGATCCAAACATGATTGCTATCTTAGGAATTGATTTATAAAATGAGGAAGTTTGGGAATCGCTGTTGTAATCAATTTTCACAGGTATCCATCTACGCATCACCTGACAAATGGAGCCAGACACATTATGCCTTAGAAGTAGCAGTGAAACTACTGGAATTTTATGAGAAGTACTTTGATATTAGCTTTCCTTTACCAAAACTGGGTAAGTCAAACATCAATATCAGTACAGTTCATATATAACTCTTTCAGTCACAAAATTTCTGTTTAATTTCTCTTTTCTCACACAAAACTAAGTGAGAAATTCAAAATGTTATTCTAGCTAAGAAAAGCCAACATGTTATGGGAAAGATTATGTTTTGCAATAGAGTGGTTATAGGCTTCTGCATAGTTTGGCTGAAATCAGAATGTTTTTCCTTATTAGGGCAAAATTCTGTCCTCTGATCTGTACCTTGGATAAACCCAAAAGTCTTTAATTAACTATGTGAGAACAATCTTGAAATAATGGAGCAACTGAAAGGACTTGGAGAACCTGAGATTCCACTACAGCGTAATCTCATTTATCTGAATGCCCTGGAAGGCAAATTAATAGATTTAGATAATCAAGGGAATTTTCAGTGTAATTAATAAACTATAGTGCATTGGCTCCTGTTTCAGTTAACTAGGAGTTTCCAGTAATTGAAGTTTGGCTAATCAAATTTGTACTGTATTTAAAAAATCCTCCTGTTGTGTCCTCAGTTATGGCAACTCCTTAAATCAAGGTACTGAGCCTTGCTAAGTACACATGTGCCCAATTCTGCAAATGCTTACTCTTGAGAATAGAGCAGTGGTGCCCAAACTTTTCCTCACGCCCCCTCCCTTACCCGTAATGGAATGTGTCCATGCCCCTCCAGGCCGGGAGCAGAGTCGTGGCCAGGTTGGGGCCAGCAGCCAAGAGTGGGAGCCAGGGGCCTACAGCCAAGCTGTGGCCAGGAGCAGGGGCCGGGGCCACAGCTGCAGATGGAGGCTGGGGGCGGGGTCAGAGCGGTGCTGGGTGGCGCTCCCTCCCCACTCCCCAACTCCCTACCCCATGGGGACTGGCCCGGGCCCCGCTGCGCCTCCCTGGATGTTCCATAATTTGGGGACCACTGAAAAAGAGGTTTCTAGAATTATATTGAGCTCCCTGTAAAACCTGAGAAGGATTCTCTGGGGTCGTTCTCTTCTTTGATTGATCCACAGCCCTGGTCAGGAGTCCTTTGTGACCGCAAAACCTACTGTTGATAGTTAGGTTTTTCACAGCACATGACTCAGCACTTCAAATCTGTTGTGCTCCTTCATAATTAAAAGTAGTTTAGGTTTTTTTAAAAAAGACTATTGGACCTCAGTCAAACTAGCCTTTGAATTAAGATTAGATTTTGCAAGGGGAAAGCTATACTGAAATCAAGTAAATAATGAACTCTCATAGAACTAAATTTCTATCAGCACGGATATTGAAAAATTACAGAAGAACAAGACTCATGAGGGTTCTCATCCTCTCCTCATCTGCGGGAGATATGGAGACAAAAAACAACTCTGCAGAGCAACGAGAGCAAAGCAGCAGGGAGAGAGGCAGACCAAAGAGATTCAGCAGCAGCAACAGCAGAAGTGCTCAGAACAATGGCAGCCTTTATTTAGTTTTTTACTTGGAGTAGTGTTAGCTGAAAAGCTTCGTTGTAATGGACCTTTTTAATGCCCAGATCAAATATGGAGCTAGCTTGCAAATTAGATAATAAATATTAAAAGCTCATGGTTCATGGTACTGGCTTGGCAAGAAGCAGATCATTCACCCTTGACAAATAATCTTTCTTCTGCAGATTTCTTCTATTAAACTTTTGGTTTTCCTTTCCTTCCTGGAAGTCTCATAACTTTTAGAAAAGGGATTTTTTTTTTTGAGCAAGTCACTCCCTCTCATACAAGATGTGCAGTATTTCATGTAAGACAAGCCAATCTAAATAGAAAAATAAACTCGTAACATTACATTTTACAAAATTGTTTACTATGGGAGCTATAGGAGGACATAGTATGTTTGCCAACTTGATTGCTTAGCTAGAAAGGACCACCTGGATGTGCAAATGTAACCAGGATTCATAGGGCTGATGGTAAGACATTTGCATTTCATACAGGTAACACACTCAGAATCTAAGGCTAGGTCTACACTACTGTGGGATCGGTGCTGCTGCGATTGATGCACTGGGGTCGATTTAGTGGGTCTAGTGAAGACCCGCTAAATCGAAGCGTGATGCTGGTACTCCACCGGAACAAGAGGAGTAAGGTAAGTTGATGGGAGAGTGTCTTCCATAGACACCGCAGTAAGTCAACCTAAGCTACGTCGACTCCAGCTACGGGAATAATGTAGCTGGAGTAGCATAACTCTGGTTGACTTACCATAATAGTGTAGACATAGCCTTGGAGGACGCATAGTCTGTAGTAGCTTGTTATCTGACCAGCAGTAAATTTTAGGCCTTTCATGTGGTTGGTAAGTATTTCTGTAGGAGTGTGCAATGGTGGCAGCTTCCAACAGGGAGAGAAAATTAGGAGGGAGGAAAACGGATCTCTGAGTTTCTGCAACTGTCCAGCCCAGCCCAGCGGTTCAGGACCAAGTGCAATACTCAAATGTAGATACTTTGCATGCTGTATGTTGTCAGATTGCCCCTACACTGGTTGTGTATATGAATATTTGATTTATTTCTAGGTTTTTCTATGGTGCTTATCACCACAATAACTGAGCACTTCACGAATATGGATGAATTTATTCTCATAACATACATATGGGATAGGGAAGTATAGTTAATATCCGCATTTTACATGTGAGGAACCGAGGCACAAAGAAATTAAGTGATTTGCTCAAGGTCACTTATGGCAGAGCTGGGAGAAGAACCCTCAGTTTTTCTAAATCCCACTCCAAGGGCTTTATTCAGAAGACCATCTTTCCTCCCTGTAAGGTTACACAGGAAGCAGAGCTGGAGACAGTTCTCTGAGGTGGTAGGCCTGTATCTTACTACTAGACCATGGTGTCTCTCTGATATCCTTCTAAAATAAGGAAGAAAAGCTAAGCAAAATAAGTTCTCTCTCTGTCATACACTAGTCTAGGTTTTGTTAGCAAACACTTCTTGCCTGTAACACTTATTTACCCAGCGTACAGTTCCTTGTCCATTGAAAAGGAACTCTTGTTACTCCACTGCTAGCTGTGCTCATAAAAGAGGAATCTGAAGTTGATTTGCTCCTGGCTTCCCACTTTTTTTCTCCCTTTCTCCTATGGAGGTCTGTCTGGAGTCAATGGGAGTGATTCCACTGAGTTTGGGAAGGAACACATGGACCATTGAACCAGTCGACAACAAGGGGCTAGAAAAGTTAATTCTCAGTAATAACACAGGTTTTATGTTAAATCTTAGATCTTGTTGCTATCCCTGATTTCCAGTCAGGAGCCATGGAAAACTGGGGTCTCATCACATATAGAGAGACTTCACTGCTCTATGATCCCAAGACTTCCTCAGCATTCGACAAACTGTGGGTCACAAAGGTGATAGGCCATGAGTTAGCACATCAGGTAACTTTTTTCTGTATTTAACTTAGACATCTTTCTTTGCAAGCCTGAAAAAAAAAGTCACTTATATAGAGATGGCAGTTAAAAGCTAAGGCTGAAGTACAGAGAATCTAAAGAGCTTTAGCAGAGTTAATGTTATGCATGGAGCCAAGAGAACAAATGGCTTAGAAAGGAGAAGGATTGTAAATAATAATAATAGTAATCAGTGGTATTTATTTAGGCACCTTTCTGCAGTAGCATTTAGAGTGCTAGATGGAACTATTTAGGACAAATTGTGCTCTCTGTTACACCAGTGTCAAGCAGCAGTAACTCCACTGACTTCAGAGGATTCATTCCAATTGACATTTGTAAATGCAAGCAGAATTTGGTCCATTAACTTTAGAAAAAAGAATCCCATCAATTCTTGCTACCTTGTCAACTTACAAATACTTAAATTCAAAAACACTCCCTGGCCTCTTCTATTGTGGCAGCTGCATGTAGTAGTGAATGTTGACTTTTCTTATTGTGAAGGCTTACAAAAATAGTAAAAAAGGAGAATAACTATGAATGTAATTAGAAGAACAGGAGGACTTGTGGCACCTTAGAGACTAACTGTTCTTCTTTTTGCGGATACAGACTAACACGGCTGCTACTCTGAAACCTTTCATTATGAATGTAATTGTGAGCCAAATAGCATTGAAAATGAAGCCTTCAATTAATTCACAGAACAGATGCAGCAAGCAAGCAATGGGAGTGTAAGCTTCTCCCACACTCTCTAACAAGATGCTGCAATGCTAGTTCGAGGGTCCACTCCCCGGAGTAAGAAGATATTTCATCCCCCATCTCAATTCGGTCTTTTGCTTCCTTTGATTTAAAGTGTGACAGAATACAGAATAGCTTTTTTTTTTAATTGCATATAGATTCAGAAATAAAAATCCAGCTTTCTTAGCTTTCCATTACATTTTATGAAATTCTTGTTTTGTCCTTTTTGTCCTCCCTTTGTTCAATTTTCTTTGACATATAAATCAAATTTGATCTTAATAAAGCACAGAGACGTGCCTGAACTTAAGATAAAAGCTTCCTCATTAAACATAGTAATTGCCAAGTTTCATTTTCCTTTTGTTTACTTGAGATTTTGTCTTTTAGTGGTTTGGTAATCTGGTTACTATGGAATGGTGGAATGACATTTGGCTAAATGAAGGTTTTGCCAGATTCATGGAATTGGTTTCTGTTAGTGCTACGTACTCAAAGCTGCAGATTGTAAGTAATACAGCTATCTTGCTAAATCCTTTTTCTCTGTTGGGTGCTAATGAAAAATCATTTACAGGTCACTACCAGGAAAATACAACAAAATTTATTGTCTGAAAAGGGGTTAGCAAAGAGAGTATCTGAAGCTTAGAATAGCAGTATATCTTCAGAATTGATTCCTGGTTTGTAAGCACATTTTTGCAGTAAAATTTAGTCTCATTTTCCTTTTAAGTCCTATTTCTTCCATCTCTCTTTCCTAAATCTAAGCAATTTTGTTGTTATAAAAAGAATTCCAGTAAAAGATAAGAGGCTATCTGGTACGTTGCATTCTGGCACTTGCACCAATATAGTTATGGTTGAGAAGGCATTTTTTTTATAGAGCCTTATTTTCTGGCACTAAAACACTTTTTTGAAAAAATTATCCTTTAGGCAAAAACGTCTCATTTTTGTTCTCCACTCAAAAGTGCATTTATCTTGAAATTCTGAACTGAATTTGCCTGGCTATTTTTGGATTCTTTCTACATGATTTCCAGTCACCAGCCTTTATTCAACTGTGGATTATGCTGGCACACACTGCTCGTTTGCTGTTCCAGCTAGAATAGCATTTAGCCGAATATTCCAAATGTATGCATATATATATGTATGTAGCATAAAGAATCTATTGTAAACTATATTCATAAAGTGGTTTAGCATATAACAACCTTTTGCTCCCCTTAGAAATGAGTATAGGCCCAATTTTAAAAATTCTGATGTGAATTATGAACACTCAAAAACTGGATTCAGCCCTTCATGAACATTTACCTTTAACTACAGCAGAGTCGATGTTCCACTATAATAGGGGCCAGTTTTGGATCTGAACTTGGATTATGATGATCCTTATCTTCCCTGAATTGGGGAGTTTGGGTCTGGGAATTTGTGTCAGGTCTATTTTTGTTAGGAATTAAAATTTTGGAGAGTTTTGGGGGGTTTTTTTTTTGCAAAGTTTGCAAATTTTTAGGTCTTTCAGATGTGATACAATATATCAGTATAGTTGGAATCTTTTCTGTACAGGAGTTGAACTTGATCATTATGCCAGGGAAGAGGTTTTTGCATGAGCATTTCTGTCTTTGTACTGTGTATTATTTCTGTCCATGTAGTGTGTATCTATTTGAATCCATATCATGTCTTGAAGGTGATAACTGTCTGTATATCCCACAGGAGGATTACTTTCTGAATGTATGTTTTGGTGCAATTGCAAGGGATTCATTAAATTCATCTCATCCGATCTCCAACCCAGCAGAAACTCCTACTCAAATAAAGGAAATGTTTGATACTGTGTCCTATGACAAGGTACTGTATATCAATTCATAAATGCAAAAAGATCTTTTGCAGTCACAACACTTGAAATTCTGAGCAACCTGAAAGCCAGTTGTTTGGAGGGAAAACTCTGTGAATCTTGCAGTATGATGACAGATTTGACATTAGCTCTCTGCATCTGTCTAACCTCCCATGAATGGATTAATTATTATGGTTACACTTTGCTAACCCCTTGGCTCCAGCCATCCAGGCTTCCCCACTGCTAGATGATAACTATGGTGAAATCCTGGCCCATGTATGGTCTCAATACATGGGCTGTGCACATGAAAGTTCCACAAGAGCTGTGTGTGTGTGCGTGTGTGTGTGTGTGTGTGTGTGTAGTTAAAATTCTTCCCTTTATGCCATTCCATGACCCCATTGCATCTCATGTGATGTGTTAGCCTTCCAATCTGGTGGTATTTCTTCCCCCATCTGTAGAAGTGTTGGCCAGTGCATCAGTGTAGTCACATCCTGCCCCGACCCAACACACAGCTCTGCATTGCCATGGACGGAACCTCACTTCATGTTGCATACAGGATATGGACAGGCTGTGGCATAGGCTTCTTGATTCTGCCCCCAACCCACATATAGCAAAACCACACCAGTTCCTCAGCCTACTGAAATACTCCCCTGTGGGCGGTATTTGCCTCACCAAAGAGTTAAGTGTAACATGCAATTTATCCTTCCAGTTGTACTAGTTAAGGCACATTCTGATTTTAGTTTAAGAGAAATCATGAATACAGAAGGCAAACACGAACCAGAATGGGGTGATTTTGGCACTAGATTACTTTCTTACAATGATTGGTATAAGTGTGGATTCATATTGTGCCGTTTCCTGTCCTCCTTAGATCCCCTGAGATGATGCATCAGCATTGAAATATCTGGTGTATTTTATTTGATATATAATGTTTCACTAGTTTGACCTTCCAGTATTTATATGTTAATTGGCTGGCAGTGCCATCCCATCTCAACAGCTTAAACTAGAATGCACACAATAAGAGTAGTAAAATGGCCAATCCAATCATATAATCTATGGTTCTATAGTCGTGCTAACCCATATGGTTAATCCTTATAAAGTATCCTTGAAGGAAAACAGGCTGCCAGTGCAGCTATTAGGATGCACCTCATCCATTTTATTTATTTATTATTCTGCAACAGCAGCCAAAGCTGAAGCCTACCCTGGCTTCTCAGTTGCAACAGTTTAACTAAAACCAGTTATTGAACAAAATAGAGTTTATATCAATGCAAAAGATGGTGTGGATTTTGGTTTGAGTGGCTTCTTTCAGTTTCACTTAAACTGATTTTCAATAGATTTAAGATCATTGGAAGTAAGTGGCTCCTTTACTAAAATAGGTGTGTCCACAGAGGAGTTAGCACTTTTAAAACTATATTGGTTTAAATTCACATTAAGTTGTAATGGTGTAGCTGTCCCATGTAGATAAGGCCCAAGTCCTTTTTTCAGATGAAGTCAAGAAGGCTTTACAGTCAACATAGTGGTCCTGCTCTTAGCTAACTTCAAGCTGCCTTTGCTTCGAAGAGCAGAAGAACTGGCAGCTCCCGTGCAGAGCTTCTGTTGGGGATTCCAAGAGAATAAGGCCAATATCCAATATAATTTTGGGTATTTATCAACTGTTTGGGATTAAAGTTGAATACACCCAGAGACCAAAGCAGGGGACACCAAATTCTATCAGCTTTAAATACATCTGACAGTAGTAATAAACATTCAACATTACTTGATTTGTGGTGTACTTCTATGATCTTTATATTAACAATATTAAATGACAGCATCATTGATTGTTATTACCCAAAACAACAGAAGAAATTAATTTATGCACTTACTTCATGTGAAACAGAATTGGCATTTACTCTAGATACTAAATTCTTTCACCATGTCAGATCAGTATCTGATCCCCACTGGAAGCTGATAGAGTACTAATGTGAATTTGTGTGGAACTCTTGACTTAAGTTTATTAATCATCCTCTTTAATGGCTGTTTAAATTAGTTAATTGCCCAAACGTGCATGCATGCACAGTCTTTAGTACTAACATTAATTAATTACATTTCATAAAGAGTTCTGAGGTCTTTCAAATGAAAAGCATAATGAAGTGCCAAGTTTTATTAGTTATATCATTGTAGAACAACCTTAACTATAAGATAAACCAGAGTCAATATGGCTGTGTACAGATGCAGGAGGAAGAACTTTAGTGCCCATTATTGTAATATAACTGTTCTTTTGTCTAAAATCTGGAGTCAATGAATATGTCTGCAAATAACAAGAATCCATTTGCTCGTACTGAAATTTTGTCATTAATGACCTCTAGCTTTTTGCAGTTTTCTGTCTGTAGAATCCACTGTTGGATACAAAATTACAGAACTTGGTTATTATCCATAGGGAAAATTCCACTTTCTTTGGGATACGTGGGATATCCTTTCACATTATATGACAGCACTGAAATCGGACACTGGCAAAAGTTATAATATGATAATATTACAAATAAATTTCAAAATCTTTATGCTATGCTAAAGAATACCAATGACCTGACTTCTAGAGTCCAACAGGTCTCCGTGGTAGCTGTGACAGTTCAGAATGGTTCAACGAGCCAGCCAGTGTGTCTTTGAGCATCATGTCTTGAATACCCATTTTCACCTGGCTAATGAAAACATTCAGTACATGTTGCTGAAGCAATTGTTTTATTCATACTGCATTAGCAATACACTTTAAGCTCTCAGTTTAACCATCACTGGCTAAACAACACGTGAGCATAAGAATGTAATGTAAAACCATTTGTTTGAATACTTGCTACTTTTTTGTTTTAGGGAGCTTGTATTTTGAAGATGCTCCAAGATTTCCTATCTGAGGCGGTGTTCCAGAGAGGAATAATTCACTACTTGAAGAAGTACAGCTATAGGAATGCAAAGAATAATGACTTGTGGAACAGCATGGCCAATGCAAGTTCTGTCCTTTGTTGAAATATGTTGTATTATATCCATGTATACAGTAGTTGCAAATAGGGAATTTAGATTTTATATGCAATTAATAGAGGAATATATTAGTGATTATACTGCATACTATTTTTTTTTCAGTTGCCTTCACCAAAACTACATTAAAATAACCAGGATTATCCTATCTGAGCTAAAAAGCCCCCCAGCACATTCAAAATAAATGTCCCAGTACATGAACTCCATGCAGGCTCAGGAGTTCCTCCACGTGACGCTCATTGCAAGAATGGGACCTGTGCCTACAACTCCCTCAGTATCTTTCACCATCCTACCCCCAATCCAGCAAAGCTCATGCTTAGCTTTAAGCCCACAAAAAGTCTCGCTGATTTCACCATGCTTAAAGTTACGCATATACTTATAGATCATGTGGAACTGGGGTCAAAATTTCCTTGACTAGTGGGTGCTGACATGAGTAGTATGAAACTGTAATACAGCAACACAGGCACGCATGGAAATGGAAAAGTGATAGTCTCAATTATCACAGGCTCACAGGAATTGCTCATGCTGGGCAACATACAAAGCATTGAATTATGGACCAAATTTTCACCTGTCTCATGCAAATACATATGTAAAATTTGCTCACAAACCCTACAATTGCATGTACCAATCAGAATGGCAGATGCCTGCTGTGATGGGGAAGAGTGTCCCACACCAGCAGAGAAGGGGTTACGGAGAGACTTTGGGCCCAGCTAGCTCCACCCCGCTATACCTGCAGCCAGTGCCACACCTGAAGAAGGAATAAAAGGAGAGAGCCTGGTGCAGTCTGGGGCTGACTGGCCAGAAAGGCAGCTTCACTTGTGACTGCTCTGGCTAGCAGGCCTGTCTCTGTAATGCCACTGGGGAGGAACAGCAAGACCCCAAGGAGTCAGCATGCTCAGAGCAGAAACAGTTTGGGAACCAAGCCTGAAGGAAAGGGCAGAATGCCTCTCCCACAACTGGAACACTGGGGGATGGCCCAGTAGTCAGTTAGTTATGTTTGCTTTTATGTTGTAGAACATTTTGGGGTGGGGCTGACTCTGTGGACTCTGGAGATAGAGACTTCATCCTCCCCGCCAGGAGACACGCAGCTGCATCAGGGCACCCAGAACATCCACAAGGGGGCACTACTGCAGTCACACCATTACACCTATTTAAACAATTTTCATGCATGTAGGGGGTTTGTATGAAAATTAGTGCACCTGCAAAACTTGCAGTCTTTTTTTTTGAGATCTGTTGAAAATGTGTCCCTATCATATAAGTACATTCTTCTGCCATCTGGGGCCTGATTCACTGCATTACTCCACTTTTTCAGTGGTGTGTAACTCAACAATCTATTTAATTGTAGATGGTAGTTTTAAATGGGTTTATACTGATTTAAAACTGCAAAAATACAGTGGTGAATCAAACATCTTCATATTTAATTTCTTCCCTTTTTTCTCAGAGCTATATTCATAAGTATTGTTACCTTACTATTTCTCTCTCGTGCTCTCTTATTTACAGTTTTACTTTATCACTGAACAGAATAATTTGAAAAAAAATTGATAATAATAATTTGAAAAAATTAAACTCCCTATTAATGCAATACTGATTTGTTTAGCTGCCATAATTCAATGGGAAGGAGCATACTATGAACTAAAGTCTGCACAGTATACATTTATGCTCGTAAACACCAGTTCATAGCAGTAAACAGCTGCAAACAATCTTTCAGACAGGACAAAATGTAACAGACAAATGGACCTTTCACAATGATGGGCCTAATTCTCTCCACCGTTTTAGCCCAAGGTGTGTCATTAATCCATTAATTAGCAACCGAACATCATCACAATGAATTTGTTCACCGGCAACCCTCCAAATTAAGCAGATATGCCATTTATTTGGGTGCTGACTAGAGGGATTCTACTGTATATTTAACGTTGGACAAATTTAATGTATATGTTGTCTGTCACTGTTAAATTTATCTATGCAGAAACATATCTATTGAATATGCTCAAATGAGAGATTAAGAAGCACTGGTGAGGGTCTGTCATTAGTAGCCCTTTGTTTTGTGAGTGGCGTTTGTAACTTCAGATTTACTAAGTTATTTGATTGGTCTCTTTTTGCTGTACTGTTGGGTTTTTTTAAAAAACAAACATTTCTAAAAATATGTTGAGTGTGCAGGATTCACCTTTCTTTTATGTTTTACAGACTTGCTCTGAAAGTCACTTCTCTTCTGGCAACTTTTGCTATACAGCTTCCAGGCCCCTTAGCAGCACAGTAAGTAAATTATTAGAAGATAAAACACTAGACTGACAAGGTGATGATATGACACAATGTCCTGCTGCTGACTCTAGGGCTTAGAAAACAAATCTTGCATCTCAGTTCTTCAGACTGGCAACTGCTGAGCTTGCCCTTGACTTGATGCACTCAGGCTCTGGAGAAAGTAGTTCTAGATATGCTGCATTTAGTAAATGCACTCCCTGGACTTAAACTATAGAGCAGTGGAGCATCTCACTTGCTTTTCTCACTAGAGATAAGTTTGAAGTGAGGAAGAGTGAATTTAAAAACCAAAAACAAGCCAAAATTTAGGAGAAAAGAATAGCTTTGAACTAAAGAAATCCCACCGTATGTCACATGCTGGACACATGTTATTGGTCAATAAATTGAATCACAGACTTTTTCTGAATGACGTTATTGCATGATGCATTTTTATTCTGGAATAGCACAGATTGGCCACAAATCATCCAAGAATCTGGTCCAGATTTTGGTTAGTGGCCTTGCTCAGCACCTTTGAAAATTAGACCATTTGCGACTTGCTGCTAGGTATATTGTGACTTGCCCAGAGTCACACAGGAAGTGTATGGCACATCCAGGAGCAGGACACAGTTCTACTGTCTCCCAGTTCTGTGCCTTAGGCATGAGATTATTCTTTGTGACACATACAGGAGATTTACCAAAAACAAAACAAAACACTGTCTTTTGGGGGCAGAGAAGATGGACTGGGAAACCTATGCTTCTTAAGGATCTCTTTACAATTTGTAAGTGTATGTAAATACCCGTACTGGCATTCTTACTGTAACAGCTTCCCAGTGTAAAAGCTTTACCGTAGTTGCCATTATTTGTTAAATGAAAGTCTTGTACATAATCATCACTCTCGCAGGGAGGACCATTGTGATTTCTTGAATGGCATTTAAACTTGCTGCTCATAAGGTCCTGGTTAGCTCCCAGAACCAAAACTCAAACCAGAGTCTATCAGATTGCCAGCATTGGCTGTCTGGCCTGAAAACCCAAATGTGTACAGATTTATTTTTGGGGGATACTTTTAAGTGCGTCACTAAATATAGTTTGTCTGTGGTCATTTCAGTTCAGTCGTATGGGGAAACTTACGGAGATCGAAGAGATGATGAACACTTGGACACTTCAGAAAGGGATCCCACTGGTTCTTGTTAAATTCGAAGGAAACACCTTAAGATTGCGACAGGAGCGCTTCCTTAAGGGTGTTTTTGAAGAAGACCCTGAATGGGCTAACCTGCAGTCAAGGTATCCACACTTACCTTAATTTGGTAATTCTAATGTGGTGTTTGTTCTGTTGCTGCAATTTCCAGTATAGGAAAAGGTGCCTGATATTCTGGCAGCTTGATATTACATTATTACCATCTAATATACTTAGGTCAGCCTAGGCTGGAGGTAAGTTTATCAATAGATGACATGAAGTATGTGAACGAGGCATAGTACAAGTGTTCCTGCTGACTTGGCAAGGATGGACAGCGGATGTCCACTTTTCTGGCTACTGGCATGGAGCAAATCAGCAGCTGACTGTCAGGGTAGGACTACATAAGAGGCTAAATGTAACAGGAGTTTATATAATGGGAGACTCTGTTGAGGACTTAACCACAGGAACAGGATGAAGCTGAAAAAGTGAAATGTGTTCTTGGTTGGTACCGTAGTGGAGGTAGGATGAAAGAGAGGATCACACGCTTAATATCCAGTGGGAGAGAGAACTGATATGCTAGTATTTTAAAATATGCAGATTTCCCTTATATGCATGTAGAATGCCATTTCAAACCTGGATAGAGAAGTGATCCTCCATTGAGAGGGGTATCTCTGTTAGTGGACTTCTGGTGTGGACTTCTGCATAGTTATACCAAGGTTAACATTTCTAGCACTCAGTCTCATTCTCTATTGCTCGCCAGTTTATGATTAGTCAGACACAGGTAAAGCAAATCAGTCGTCTTCTGTGAAAGCAAGTGTTCCTTTACTGTATTTTTTCTTTTATCTCCCAGGTATTTTTGGCATATCCCACTCACATACATCACCAGCAGCTCCAACACTGTTCACAGACACATATTAAAAACTAAAACAGGTAATGAAGTCTGATCATTGGTTTTGTAATCAGTAAATTGATTGCCTTAACTGTACAACAGGTTGACCTTTACTAATCAATTTAAAGAAATATATTTCCTAAATAAAATTAATTTTAAGGATATGTGTTAGGGGTTGGCCCTCTGTGGAGCCCTGTTTGTTCCCTTCTTTATATTACTTCCCCTTCCTGCTTTTCCATGCCCTTGCCTCTAGCTGAGGGAGACAAGATGCAGCTCCTGACAGAGAGAATTTCTGGTCCTCTGTTAGAAACTGTAGTGGGCAGACCTGTATGTTACTCTAAAGATTAATATATACAGTTGAAGGGGCGGGGGGGTTCTGGAGTTTCTGCTAACATTGTCAATAAAACATACAGATGACTTTAAGAACTGAATTTAATTCCAAGAGTTTCTTCTAAATAACACACACAAATATTAACTTCTATTATCACGGCCAAAATTGGGAAATGATTCCAGGTAGAGACAAAAGGACCTATGGGTTACAGTGGACGAGAAGCTGGATATGAGTCAACAGTGTGCCCTTGTTGCCAAGAAGGCTAACAGCATTTTGGTCTGTATAAGTAGGGGCATTGCCAGCAGATCAAGGGACGTGATCATTCCCCTCTATTCGATATTGGTGAGGCCTCACCTGGAGTACTGTGTCCAGTTTTGGGCCCCACACTATAAGAAGGATGTGGAAAAATTGGAAAGAGTCTAGCGTAGGGCAACAAAAAGGATTAGGGGGCTGGATCACACGACTTATGAGCAGAAGCTGAGGGAACG